TCCTGGGAGACCTGTTCGTTCTGCTAATGTTTTCTGTTGTTCATTAAGCTTTAAGTTACCACTGCTCTTGTGAGAGTGCCTTTGATTTGATGATCTAGTCTTTTATTTAATCCCCAAAGTTTTCTCCATTCTTGAAACATACTTTTTTCTTAATATACACAAAACTATTTTCCACAAGATTTCTCAATCAAGACGATAGCCAAATGATTGCCTGAACATACACGAGTTGTTAATAATGGTGTATTAATACTTGAAATGACACTTAAACATGACACTCTCCGATTGAATTTACATTTCAGATGGCAGTAAGTTGATATTCATGTATCGTTAACATCTGTCAGTACCCAGGATTTCTGATTTGCTGCAGCAACATAGTCAAGCCCACGTATCATCCTCTGAAAGCTGTGCAGCACTCTCCTTGCAGCAGCAGTGCCGTTATGCTAATCCCCTCTTCACCAGCGCCTTGGACTAAGGTCATTCGTTGGAGAGATTCAGTTAAGCAATCAGGACCCTGAGAAGAGCATTTTCAATAGTCCTGTCTGTCAGCTTATATCTCTGTCTGGAGTCTGAAGGTCTAGTTGAATTGAGGTGTTGTCCTCAGTCCGAGAAAAGGGCGATAGGCCAAGGTGCTGTGTCTCCATGTGCACCATATCAGTGTCACAGATTCAATATCCACATCTTGCTTTCGAAAAAAACTCAGAAGGACTTTCAAGTAGTTTATGTTCCTCAGAACTTGGATCGTTGCATTTCAACCAATAACAAACAAGTGGGAGTTTAGTCTGAGACGCTATTTATCCGATTTAAATACACTTTGGAACAAAGTTCCGCAATAGGACGAACACAAACGGATTAGTCTTGGCTTTGGAAAGCCCCACAAAGTTTTTAATTTTAATTTTTTCATGTAATTCCATTACTCATCAATCTGTGTGTGTGTGTGTGTGTGTGTGTGTGTGTGTGTGTATATAGTGTATGTATATATATACAAATTATGTTGAATTTTCATCAGTTTTTATTCAATCTTTAACAAATGACACACACATACACATATATAATATCACCTGATTTCCCATAACCGGTTGCCACATTCGACATGTCTTATATGACATAATCTGCTGCCATTGTTTTCATGACTTGGGAACCAAATGGAGGTGACACACAGGTCTTACAGTTGGCTCAATGGCAGCACGATAAAGGTAAATGTTCACATAAAGCACAACTTAGTGGTCATGAGTCTGTGCAAAGTTTCATTTTTAGGGCCTTAATATTCTCAGACAGAAACGGAACGCTTCACTGTAGCAAGGTGTTTCCATAAATAACCAATATTTGATGGATGTTGACATCAGTCATGCCCCCTACAGTAGCAGTCTCTAAGATCCATTATCTACACTGTTTATGGATCCGCTATGTAATAGATCTACCTCTGACTGCAGACGGCTCGGACGTCCCAATTCACGTCAAGCTTACTTAGTTCATCGTGCAATGACTCAAGCATACTGTGTGTGTGTGTGTGTGTGTGTGTGTATGTGTGTGTGTGTGTGTTTGAAAACTCTCATGATTAGTGTTCTCAGTGACTGGCTGGCTGACGGGGTTGATTTGTCCGACAGTGCTGTGTGTCAGGCAGGCCCGGCGTCCACACTGGAGAACATGAGTGAAGGAGCGGATAATTGATAGTGACAAGGCGCTCCCAGCCTTAATTGCTGCTGGTGAATTAGATTACCTTTTCAAAGTGCCTTCATTAGCAGAGGGAGAGCCATACCAACGGTCCCCTGATTGGCCTCATATTGTTTTGCTGTGAACCTGCTCTGGCAGGGCACAAGGATGTGTGTGTGTGTGTGTGTGTGTGTGTGTGTGTGTTTTTTTGGGATGGAAATTGCTCACTAATTTTCATGTACAGCTGTAGTTTGATGGTGTGTACATGTGTGTGTGTGCGTTATGCACATCCAGTGTCAATAATGTCAAGCTGTCAGAGTGACACATTTAGCAGGAAGTGCTTCTCTGTTTCTATGGGCCTCTGACTGTTTTCACAGTTGTAAAGGGTTGGTTCACACAAATTACAAACAACAGATTGTCTCACTGAGCTGTCTAGCCAAATAGTTTTGGTTTTATTTGTTTTGAGATATTTGCCTCTCGATTTACACCTCAGTGCAGTGGGAGTGAATGGAAAATTGCGAGAGAAGGACTGACCAGCGATTCAAACAAAAAAAGAAAAAAAAAACCGGAACAACTTTCTACAGAGGAAATACTTCCTCTAGAAACTGTTGAGTGTGAGATCTGGAGACTAAACTGCAGTCAAAGGCAGGAGACGAGATGCTTCCGTGGCACAGCAGGTGGAGCGGGTCATCCACTAATCGCAGGGTGGGCGTGTCATTCTGTCCACGTCCTGTGCCTTGCATGGTTGCATGGTTGAATGTGAATGAGTATTGTAAAGAGCTTAAGCTGAAAGCGCTATATAATTGCAGTCCATTTACCATCACTTAAATAGCTATTATCTTGGCTAAACAAAAACTCTACAGCCAGCAAGCTGATTTAACTAGAACTGTACATGAGTCAAAGGCTGATAGCTGAAGCTGGCATGTACCTGTGTCTTTAAGAAAAGGACTGGCATGACACGAACATTAGGGAACATTTAGGGATTCACCGATACTTTAGTATAACTATATGCTCTGTTTGTATCTGGATAACACAATGTTGCATTTAAAAATGTCAACAACAAAGTTATTGTTGGAACTGTAATGGTATTAGTAAGTACTCATATTGGTACTCGGTGTTGGCAAGTACTCAAAATGTAAGTACTTGTTTGAAAAAAGTACTATCAGTGCCTCCCTGCCCAAATTATGTTTTTGCTGTAATTCATCCATTACCTGTCATTAGCTCGTCAGGCTACTTGTAACATATGAGACGGACAAAAGAAAAAAAAGGTAGATATTTCCTAATAAATTAGAAAATAGCCATACCTGAGCTGGACTCGTGGGGTTCAGAACATTAATGTGGCTCAAAGAAGATATCTGTCAAGCTATGGTGCTAAAAATGACACACTAAGCTCCAAGTGAAGTCAAGGATATGGCAAGAGCTTCCTACTAGTGCCAACCTTCCCACAGACAGACAGACAGACAGACACCACCCAGCATAGTAACTATCCGCTCACAGGATCAGGACCAAGGAGAGCGCCACAGAGTAACACAGACACTGCTTCTAAAGAGACATAATGCTATTATGTTCAAATGTGTTTATTCCCAATGCTTTTTTCTCTTGTTTTTTTTCCAGTGAGATCAAAGGTCAAGGAGGTTGGTAGTTACAGCACCCATGGGGCTGGTAGCTTCAGCAAAGGCTTGAACCCTTAAGACTCCAGTTGATGAGTAGTTTCTGTGATCCTGCTGCCAGTAAAAATAAAAACAAAACACCCTAAAAGCTAGCAATTTTGTAGTAGAGAGGAGTTATCACTCCATGCAGATGGTGACATAAGCTTCTTTAAAAAAAACAACAACACTTCCCGCCCAAACTCAAAAGTCCAAAACCTAAAGTCTACCCCCTCTTCATCCTCTGCAGCAACAGTTTCAGCTCCAGCCATCCTTCCTCATCCCATTTCCATATCCGTCTCCAGTCACTGCTCCATCACCAGCCCTCTCCATCTCCCCCGCCATCCCAAAAACCCAATGGCGTCCCCCGTCCCTGTCACGGGCTTCATCCCTGCCCCAGCCAGCCTGCAGCTCCCCTGCTGAGTTAAATGGAGTGTACTGGCGTCAGGGGAGTCCGTGTGTGCTCAGTTCAGCTCAGCTCAGCTGGGCTGCCAGCGTTATAAACTTACTGTGCGATTATTGTCAGAGCGAGACTCCCCCACCCAGGAGGTCCGCGCTGATGGGTACCATGTCACTGGGTACAGCCCGCCACGGAGGGAGGGATGAGAGAGCAAACGAGGGATGGAAACGCGGGTGAGAAAAGGACACGGGCAAGGAAGAGCAGTTCTGTTGGTGGGAGTGATGCGGAGAATGGATCGAGGGAGAAAGGATAGAATAAGACGGAGGAATAAGAACAAGCAGGAGGGCAGAGAATCATCAAAGAAAGGAAAAAGCCAAGCTGAGCAAGGAAAGACTGATGTAAACCTATCTCAGCAGACAAAGACGAGGGAAGACACACAGAGAGGGAAATAAAGAGGGAAAAGCAGAAGAATAATGCACCAAGAGAAGAAAGAGAGGCAGCAGGGAAATCAACAGAGGGGGGGGGGGGGGGAAGAGAGGGAGAGACGGGGAGGGCCAGTGGAAAAGAAAGGCAAAGAGAGAAATTAGAGAGAAAATTTTCAAGCGGGTGATGTGTGCTGTGATTGTTTTCTCTCTCTCCTGCTCTCTCTCTCCCTCTCTCTCCCTCTCTCGATCTAAACGGTCGGGATGTGGCCTGTATCTGCAGGCTAGAAGGAACTCAATTTGGGACAATTTACTCTGCAGTCTCAGCCCTGATGCACCTCAGGGACAGAGAATAGAGAGAATGAATGTGAAGGGAGATAGAATCAGCAAGACACACACACACACTAACACGCACACACACACAACGTGCGCCTTGCACACAATTGCCGCCGAGTAGATTTCACTTAGTTAGTTCTAACTCTCCCAGGCGGTCAATACGATTTCGGTTTATAAGGCTTGGAAATGAAAAGCCCAGGATAAGGTTAGATAAACTGTGTGCTATTTGATTTCGGCCCACCTCTTGCAGGAAAACCCACACAAGACAGATGGCCGGAGGGGATACGCTGATATCATGTTGTGCGAAGGGTCATGTGGGTGATTAAGGCTGAATGCGTTATGGGTTTCGACCCTCGCACTGAATGTGTATTGGTCTCTCTGTAATGATGAAAACCCTTTTATGATTTTCCACGCATCTGAGTTTATGAGGGCACAATATTTTCCCAAATTCTTGAATGAAAGGTGCTCAACCAAGCAAATCTTGTGTTCTGTAAACCATTCAATGGTTTTACGTCCTGACCACAACACGTGTTTCTATGCCGACAGGTTGGCAGCCTGGAGGACGTGTACACCCTCAGAGACAGCAGGGGGCGCCCTGACAGATCCACCTTTGAGAGCAGACTTTCTACAGCAGTGGGGGCAAGTATTTCAACTGTTCCATTCAATACACACCGCTAAATAAAATCCCCGTCGCACTTTAGGATCTAGAGACTGCATCCAAGCTGCAGGTTTCCCAAAAGAAGCCGCTCTGAGGTTGTTGTTTTTTTTTTTTTCTTGGCCTGACTCTCGCTGTCTGTGTAACACAGCGGGAAATGGATTTGTAACTACAGCAAATCAGAGCGTTCAGCTACTTAGACGTGACTGTTTGATACATTTAACACGGCCACGTCAAGGTGAATTCACACTCTGGCATCAGTTCTGATTTTACACAGCATGTATATGCAAATGGAAGTTCATTTGGCTGGCGTTGCTGTTTTAATCAGGGTATAGTGTTGATTAGCGTGAAGGATGAAAAAAAAAAAACACACAAAAAAAAACCCCCAGAGCCATGTGGTGAGTAATGGCTAAAAGTTGTTTACCTTGATCGTGTAGCTTGTGTGCCTGTTCCATCCAATATCACTTTATATACCCCCCCCCTGTTCTGCATCACCCTCGGAGCGCACAATGCAGCCTGCTTACGGGGCTTTTGTTGCCAGGGAAACCGTCACCCACGGAGACATCCCGTGACAGCACAGGGTGAGGGAGGAGGGATGGGAAGAAGGGTCAGGGATGCAGCTTTGGCCCCGTCTGTTCTCCGGGGTGCACTGGACCTCTGGCCCTTTCCCCAGCACGCTGCTCCTTCAGACACACACACACACACACACAGACAAAAAACGCATAAAGCAGCAGCACATCGAAACGCACGGAAAGACACGCCTGCATGCACCAGAACACGCCAGCAAGAGGAAGAAATGGACAGCGAATAAAAGAAGAGTGAATTCCCAACTTTCTGATTCAGAGTTATCATCTGAATCAGTGTGCGTGTGATTAATTGAAGTAATTTATGCACAATCTCCAGTGACTCCATGTATGGTTCATGATTTCATTAAACTGTAACTTTAATTACTTTTCTACCATCGGAACTTTAGGTGAAAATGAATTTGCACGCCCAAAATGTCCCACATTTCGTAATGAGTCTTAAATTGAATGGATTGCACAAATAATGTTTCGGGATAATGAACAATTGCATACTTAGACATTGCGTCTCCTAACAAGGCGCGGTTGCATCCTTAGAGACCATGCATTGAAGTCAGTGTGTTGGCTATGTTCTCTTATGTGAACCTATCGTTTTTGGCTTGAAACCAATAAGAAACATTTTTATTTGTTAATTTTTTAGCTCAAAAACAGTCAATATTATGGTGGGTTATGTGTTGCCCAACATAATTACTGTGTGTTGGCTACAGTAGCTGGCCCGCTGCCAAAGCCTCAGCTATAATCCACCCACCTCTGACCAGGCCTCTGTCTATACTGAGCTGCGTGCTGCTTTCCACTCTGCATCACTGTACTTTGCGTCGCACGGCAGGTGGGTAACATCACAGAGCTTGCTAATTACTGCAGCGTGCAAAGTTTAGTGAGCCGTAGCGTTGCGACGGAGTTGATGTTATTTTAAACTGCCTACTGAGGTGAAAACAGAACTAGTTAGAGCAACATGGTTATATACCAATCCAGGTACCACGCACAAGGCAAAGTGTGCTACTCTTTAAAGGAATTCATTTGTTCCAAATGGAGGTTTGACTTACTTGTGTAGCAAAAGCATAAGAAGATGGTGTTTCCATGTGTTAGATGTCGTGGAATTAAACTGAATGTTGTTTGTTGTCATATGTCTCTGTGAAGTTTTGAATTTAAAATAAGTAGTTTGTTTAAAGTTTCCCAACTGGCAAAATAATGTTGAATTCATGTCTTTGGACCATCCGGAGAGACGTCCAGGTTGCATCCTCTGAAGCCGTTTCTATTTTACAACCGCAGGAGGAAGGAAGACAAAGTTAAACATTTTCTTTCCTGACTGGAAGTTCTTCTATATTTCTTGAAGCAGATTTGCTGTTAAAATGATTTTGATTGTAACTTTAAAATACAGTACAGTGAACAGCAACCATGTACTGATCCTCTCATCTACTTGTATTACAGTAATTAGAGATGGGCATGACTACTTAGATCTCAGGCCATCTCTCATCATCTCATTTGCCAGCAGCGTTAGCATGCCCCGTTGTGACGCCAACAGGGCAGAAAAAGTTAAAAAGCTCTTCCTGAAAATGGGGATTGGAGTTTATTCTCCGGTTAAACTTTGTGGAAGGAGACGGCTTCCGAGAGCTTCTGTGAATGAAGTACAAGCTAGCAACGAGGCGGACAACAACTACGAGAATGGAGAAGATGAAAAGAATAAGGAAAGGGCGGTGAAATTGAGGGCTGATCTGCAAAGTGCTGAAAAGGCAGCTATTACTATGGACGCTGTGGACAGCACTTTACCACAGAGTCATAACCGTCACTTGCCATTTCATTCAGACAGCTGTCCTGCAGCCAAGCAGTTCTGAATGAGTCCTTAAACCTGGAGGGGGGAGTTTGGTTAGATGCATGAAATAAGACCTGTGGTTAACACATGAAGAGATTTTAAGATATAACGATATAATACAACATGTGTTTTGATAAAGAATAACTTTTTATTATTATGCCCAGAATACAAAACTAGGTGGACAAAAATGATTGTTCAAAAGACACCTCCATCTTGTCCTCACCGTAGAGTATAGGCTTCACAGAATGTTTAACCCAGAGACAGCATGAAACACACACATACTTTACAGACTTAATAAATGCAAGTACTGTACAGTACTTACTCTGGCCAAACTGACTGTAGTGTGTATGGCTTTGTAATGACATGTGCTTGCTTATGAAAAATGTATCCAAAAGACAAGGGCATCTGTTTTGTGAGATTGTCCATCATACTTTGAAAAAAACAATTTCCACTCAAGGTCCACTTACTCGCCTGTTCGCGAGCTTTCGTCTGCATTGCAGATGAAGTTTACTCCTACACATCTTGAAACATTGCAAAATGATGTGAAGCTTCCAATATCTCCAGTTCCATGACAACCGAGTACAAGTAAAACATTTCAGTTGAACTCATAAATATGACTGTGTTCCATAACAGAGGAACAAGGAGCACCCTTCATGAATCAGTGCAATCTGCAACAGCTGCAACAGCTGCTGTAGCTCTGAGTTAGAGCGGTCCATAGGAATGAGGCTCTGAGGCTCATATGTGGAGAGCTGGACTATAACAACATTGTTTACAGCATGAACAGACACAGTTGTGTTTACAGCACTTCAAAGGACATTACATCATCTTACATTTTGCTACATGCCTAATCCTAACCTAAACCTAGCATTAAACTACCCTTAAACCAAGTCTTCACCCTAAAATGTAATGATTTAAGTTATGGGGACTTGCATTTTGTCCCCCAAAAGAAAGGCGAGTTCCCACAATGTGACTGTGTAAACAGATTTATGTCCCAACAGCATGAGTCCTACACACCGACACAGACACACACACACACAAATGGAGGTCCATGGTGATTTCTCAGAGGAGGAGGTTTTGCCACCATGTAATCCCGGTCGATTCAGCCCTCCGCCAGCAAAGCAACAATCAGCTATTGTATTAATTGCCCTGCTAATGACACAATTTGCTCTCCACACAAACACGCGAGGGCTCAGAGGCGACACACGGATAAAGCCACAAGGCGCCAAATGCACATTTACAAACAGCTCACATACATTTTGACTTAAACAGACACAAAGCCCGACATGCACTCAAGCATGATCATAAGACATGCATACAGGAATAGATCCACAGGGGCGACCGCCAGACAGGTAACGCATACACACACATGGCTGCAGTATGGCAGGAGATAATAACACCCAAGTCTCTCCATCTCTCCGCCCGTACCTTGTTTACTTCAGGCTCCACCTCCCCCACATTGACCCTCTTCCTAACTGTCCTAACTATCATACCTCGTGCGGTTTCGTTCTCAAACACACAGACACGTCTCGGACTGAACTCTACACTGACCTTTTACAAAATGTCTCGGATACGAACCCCCTGCCAGCTCCTGACATACACTCACTGGTCCCTGCTGGTGCGCTACAGACTCAATACACACATGCAGACAACCACTGTCCCGTTTTTTGTTTGTTTTGTGTTCTCTTAGCGTCTGTCTAGCTAGTCTGAGCTGCCTTATTGTTACTCTAGCAGCGACGAGGCTCTTAGCGGTGAGAGGAGTCAGAGACAATGGAACAAAGTTATGTAAGGAGACGCCGTTGTTTCCCGCTGAAGAAGACGTCAAGGTCGGGTCAACAAATCAACGCTACTCCACCTGTACAAAACAAGTAGCACTCATGTCATATTCACAGCTTTCTTTTCCCACAATGCATTGCACTTTATAAAGAAATTACCATCAAGCGACACAACACTTGTCCGTTATATAGCAATGTGGGGATGGTTTATAAGATCCCACTTTACTGCCCAGCATAAAGGAAGCTTTTGAGTGTCTATCACATAGGGAATATTGACTGAGTGAACAAGAGACGCAGCCTTAGTCACTCAAGTATTATTAAAAAACTTGCATGCATATACTGAGCCCGTCAGGATAAACCAGGTTGCAAGTTTCGAAAGTCTGTTCTGTTTCTCTGACCTCAGGAGAGTAGGGTTGACTTGCATGTAGCCGTCAGACTGGGGTCTGTATCACCCACGCTATGTCCCCCTAACAGGACAGGTGTTCTTGACTAAAATCTAACTGCAAAGGGCCAAATTGTTACACAGAAACACTGTTTTTTTTAAAGACATTTTGACTTGTCACAGTAGGGAAAACACAGGTGTTACTAATAACATTAATAAAGAGGGCTCAGTTCTATTCAAGTGTCCCAGTGAGCCATGACGGTAAACCAGCACGCACAACACCAGCAGCCTGAAGCTGAAGCAGCCAAATATCAGCTGTTGTTGAAGTTATTGGTAGCTCTTTTGCTTTGTCCTATGGCAATCGAAAAGGGTCTATGTCTCACATCAGTGGCTAACTACAGACCTGTCCCCCATTCATGACGTCACTTCTGACCCTCCT